TATTTGGTACAGGGTCTTGCTACAGAGCTCGTACTTCTGGTGCTTCTCCTGTCTCAGCCTCCCCAGTGCTGGGATTACAGGCATGCCCTACCATGCCTGGTTTCTGTGGCCGGCTCAGCACCCCCAGCGGCCCAGGGCCAGCATGGCACATGGTACCAGGGATGAAGCCTAGGTCCTTGTGCTTGCCAGGCAGGTGCTGCCAAGCTGCCAAGCTATCTCCCCAGCCCACAGATTTCTTGAGTGAAAGAATGAATGACTTTCTCAAGGATCTGTAGCTATTGATAAACTGAGACATCTTGAGTTACACAACTTATGTTTTGAGTGACTACAACTCCTCACTTTTCCTATGTATTTGATCAAAGTCAATAAATAAAAAAAATTAAAAGTCAGAAAAAATAGGTGGCTAATTTATTTAGGCTGTAAGTGCATGAAGATGGGGATGAGACCAGACTTGTAAGTATTATCATTTTAATAGGCTTGGGAAGGTATCAAAAAGCATTGGTTTTAGTGAAAACATGAGTACTGGTGATTTTGCAGAAAGTAATTCTGGAAAATGACTTTTAGAAGTCAAAAAATGACTTGTAGAAGCCAGAAACAAGAGACAAGTCATATAAGTACAAATTTGGACTCTGCCACTTTGGCAGCCAGCTTAGTGATTTTTTTTAATAATTCTCCAATCTTTAAACATATGAGAGTGAGTGGATTTAGCAAGACAATGGTGGTGTAGTTACACAACACTGTAATACTATATCGAGTGACTGCCCTATATTAAGTACTCAGAAATATTTGTTTAAATCTATGATTAATGCCTCAGGTAAGGGATCCTTTATTCAATATAATTAAAACTATAAATTGGAATCTGAGACCAGAAATATATGCTATACTTGAATAATGAGGTAGAACCATAATATAAGAGAAATAATTATGAATAAAAACTAAAGGTTTTTTTGCTCCAATCATCCAAAAATATTTTTTCCCTCTTTGGTTATAGTAGTATGATTAATTTCAACTCTTTCTCAGAATAACATAATGATAAACACATTATATACATGAACATTTGATTCAGCTTAAAATGATAATTTTAATTTGGCATTTACTTAAAATATATCATTGATAAAACTCATTCTAGATATACATGAATGCTCTAAGATATGACTTTCTACAATTTTGCTGTAAAATTGCTTCAGTACAAAGGAGCTATTTAAAACAAATGTGATTAGCTAAGGAAATAGCTTACTGTAATAGTCGAGAAGTTGTCACATGTAGTGTTTCATGGACGTACATATGTAAAATGTTCCTATTGCATTTGGACTGAAACAAAAACGAAAAT